TAAATATGGAAGGTGTGGCTATGCTAAATGAAAAAGAAATTGATGGGATAGATGCTTAAAATATCACAGGAACCATAATCTATGCAGAGGAAGGCAGAAAACCCTCATTTCGAAGTTTGTTTACATATATTTACCAATAGCTGTAACCAAAGTAAGGCTACAAAAATTGGAGTGTCCACTTTTTTCATTAGAAAAGACAAGCTTAGTTAGAAAACTTTGTAGTGTGTGCTTTGATGTGCGCACTATTTCCTAATTGGGCCATTTCCTAATCAGGAAAAGCATTACACTTTTTTCTGCCACACCTGATGTCAGGCACAGTGTGCATTTAGGTTGGGAGATGTTTCCCATGCTCTTTGGGCCACAAGAGTTAGTGGCTAGCTTAGTGTTGTCATTGTTCATGACGATGTTCGCATATTTCCCAATTGGGAAAGTCATTACATAATACCACTTCAGTTTGTAGTCTCCGCTTTTTTCATTACAAACAAGCTTTAGACCCGTGCCTATGGCACGGCACTCGCTAACGCTCGGCCATGCCTCTGGTGCAGGTCACAGCTTGCCGTGGGCACGCCCCCTGGACCCCCCATGCACATGCTTAATCCCAGTTTTGGTATACATGCTCAATCCCAGTTCTAATGCATCTTCAAATGTAGTGTGTTCTCAGTAGTGTGTTCTCAATGCACATCTTCAATTATAGCATGTTCTCAGTAGTGTGTGCTTGGTAGTGTGTTCTCAGTAATGTGTTCTTGGTAGCATGTTCTCATGCACATATTCAATTATAGTGCATTCTTGGTAGTTTCTTCTCAGTCATATTCAATCATAGTGTGTGCTTGGTAGTGTGTTCTCAGTAGTGTGTTCTTGGTGGCGTGTTCTTCAATGCACATATTCAATCATAGCATGTTCTTCATAGCATGTTTTCAATGCAGATATTCAATCATAATAGCATGTCCTTGGTAGCATGTGATTGGTGGTATCTTCTCTGTAGTGTGTTCTTGGTAGCATGTCCTCAATGCAGATATTCAATCATAGCATGTTCTTTGTAGCATGTCCTCAATGCAGATATTCAATCATAGCATGTTCTTTGTAGCATGTTTTCAATGCAGATATTCAATCATAGCATGTTCTTTGTAGCATGTTTTCAATGCAGATATTCAATCATAGCATGTCCTTGGTAGCATGTTCTCAGTAAATGTTCTTGGTAGCATGTGATTGGTGGTGTCTTCTCAGTAGCATGTTCTGGGTAGCATCTCCTTAATCCACATATTCAATCATAGCATGTTCTTGGTAATGTGTTCTCAGTAATATTCAATCATAGCATGTGCATGGTAGTGTGTTCTTGGTACATATTCAATCACATCACATTCTTGGTAGCAGGTTTTCAATGCACATATTCAATTATAGTGTGTGCTTGGTGGTGTGTTCTCAGTAGTGTGTTCTTGGTAGCATATTCTTGGTAGCATGTTCTTGGTAGTGTGTTCTCAGTGCACATATTCAATCATAGCATGTTCTTGGTAGCATGTGCTTAGTAGTGTTCCCAGCAGCATGTTCTTGGTAGTATGCTTGATGTTCTCAGTAGTGTGTTCTTGGTTGTGTGTGCTTGGTAGTGTGTTCTCAGTTAGGAGGTTAGAGTTGATGGTTAGAATTAGGGATGTTTTGTCTCCCTATGTAGGAGGTTAGGGTGGTTACATAGTTTGAAGCTTCAATTGCTGTGAGGCAGCTAAGGTAGGATGCTTGAATTCCTATTTGGGGATTGTGTCATTGTATGTATATCCTCTTTTTTATCCCAGTTCTGCAATGTTACACTTGGATGTGGATTTATAGCACAGCACTCACTTCACTTGGCCACGCCTTGCCCAAGAGAAAGCTCACCACACTTTGCCAGCTTGCCAGATGAAAGCCCTCCAGATCCTCCACCCAACATATGTTCACTCCCAGTTGTGGTACATATCTTCCATTCAAATCATCAAAGTCACATTTTGATCAAGACCTACACAGAGCTACATGCTATATCATGATTGTAGCCAGCCATAGAAATTTAGCTATATTTATTGGCCCAACCCTCCATAATATGGCTTAGCTTAAAAAGGAAGAACTGTAAAAATCATCCCATATCAATGCTGTGCAAAGAAAGCAAAAGACTGATAGCAACTGGCAGACATTTACACAGAGAGGCCCTTGGTCCTCCAATGTTTGCTAACTTCAAATCACCAAAGAAGGAGCAAAATGTCCACCCACACAAAGTACTGGGAAAATGTAAATCAGAAGAGAAAAGTCAAAAAAGAACTGTCTAGCAGGATAGCATCAGACAGAAAAGAAGCAGGAGTGGTTAACCATAAGAGAAAAGAAGAAACATACACTGATAGTGACTTTAACACAGGTGTAGAGGGAAGTGAAGGGTGATAAAGGTGGGAAAAAAGCGAAATTGAGGGGGCTGAAGGAGGTGTACCCACAAAAATGCATGTCAATTATTCTGTGCAGTACAGAATGTAGTTGTAGGGTCTGATAGGACCAACACAACATTGCCTATGGCCAGAGTTTCCAGAAAAAGCCACTCAGGCAGCTGGTATAAAGAGAAAGAGGTCGCTTAGTCATATATTACATAAAGCTGTGCAACCTTCTTTTAATATATAGGATGTTTGTAGTCTTCTGCTTGTGTTCACTACAAAATTACTAGTGTGCACTTTTTTCATTACAAATGTTTGTAGTCTTCTGCTTGTGTTCACTACAAAAATTACTAGTGTGCGCTTTTTTAGACTACAAAAGTTTGTAGTGTGCGCTTTTTCCATTACAAATGTTTGTAGTATTCTGCTTGTGTTCACTACAAAATTACTAGTGTGCGCTTTTTTAGACTACAAAAGTTTGTAGTCTTCTGGTTGTGTTAATGACAAAGTTTGTAGTGTGCACTTTTTGGACTACAAAAGTTTGTAGTTCTCGCTTTTCTCATTACAAAGGCTTGTAGTGTGCGCTTTTTTCATTATAAAAGTTTGTAGTGTCCGCTTTTTCATTACAAAAGTTTGTGGTCTGCTTTTCTGATATGTTGTAGTCTCCTATTATCTATGTAGGTATATGGGGGTAGACCTGATGTTTCATGCAAACCAATGGATCAGTATTACAGCCTGGAGAAATAATTTTCATATTTTGTAAAAAGGACCCCAGACACCCTGTGACAGCTATGGAATGATGGTATGGAATGGTATGATATGGTATGGTATGGTATGGTATGGTATGGTATGGTATGAGGTGGAATGGTATGATGGAATTGGTATGAGGGTCATACCACTCTGGAATGGGGTACCACTAAGGTTCCCTAATTCAAAGAATTGGATAACCTCATAGGTACTCAAAAATGGGTGACTGAAGTGAGGAGTTTACTAGGACTCCACTAGGACTAGGGTACAAAATTTGTATGGTGATCAGCCAGCATGAAATTTGTCCCAGTCCTAGTCCAGTCCAGTAGGATTCTGGGAATCCAGTAGGAGTCCAGTAGGAATAGGTGGGGGAGAGTAAAGAGCTCAGACAGAGATATCACACTTCAGTCACCCACTGCCAACTGACTATTAGTCATGCAAACTCCACGTAAGTTACATGACTAAATGTCATGGACCATATCTATATTCTAGATATATATGGGTCCTAGAAAGCCCTGAAATCTAAAATATATTCTTGACACATGGACCCTGAAATGTCACACAAAAATTATAATGTCTGTGTCACACCACCAAAATATATTTTGCAAGTGAAATGCAGTAAGGATATATTTTTGGTCAGTGGACCCTGAAATGTCACTGTCACACCTTAGAAATATATTTTGCCCTGGCTTGGCCTTAGGATATATTTTGTGAAACAGATGTGGTAAGGATATATTTTTCTGGTCTGTAGGGGTGTCAGGGGTCCTAGTTTCAGCAAAAAACTTGTGATTTGTTTGCTGTCTAGGGTATATACTCTGGAAGATTCTGCAATGATTTCCAGGGGTTTTGGCACTATGTCTGGCTTGTGTTCCCAGTATGTAGGTAGCAATAAGAGGCATCAATAGTATCTGTGATCTACCTGAGTTGCTCAAGTATCATCCCCTTAGAATGGCACTATGAAGACAGTTGCATACAGATTTC